ATATATATATATATATATATATATATATAAAGATACTTATATTATAGTGAATGTCTAATTGTGTGGAGTCTTGTAAGACATGGTTAGAAATCCTATTTGGTGACCAAATAAGATTTCCCCTATAAATAAACGGGTTTTCCTTCGTTGTAAACAAGATTTGTGAAAGAGCTATGGATCTTGAATATATTTCAAGATGAGTAAAAAATCTTTTCTCTTTTCCTTACTTTATTCTTCTTTTAAATTTATATAGTTTTATAAAAAAAATCACTTTTTTTTAAATATAATTTTTATTTTATTTTTTAAAATTTACAATCATATTATTTTTTAATTTTTAAAATAATGCTTTTTTGTGGTGATGACATGTAGGCGCTATCTCCTCTCCTTTTCTATATATATAGATTATATTGAATTAAATCCATTAAGATATCTGCTTGATTTTCCTCCTCACTTCCTTCTTTAATTCGTTTTAGCTCCAAACTTCTTTAACTTTACATCAATTTACTCCCACAAATAAAGTACATTGTTTTTGGCCTCACACCACTTACCAATCACATGAAGTACCTAATCGATGTCTAGCCATGAGTGTGCGAAATAGGAACTTCGGACCTACATTTATGAGATAATGTAGGCACAAGTATGTCACTACAAAAAAACCTCAAATTGCCAACAAATTTTACTAACAACTTAAGTTGGTTAGTATTCTACTAACAAGTTATCAATATATTTTTAATCAACATAAATCTTACTAACTAAGTATTTTAGTTGGTAAATAGGGCGGGAATAAATGGCGCGAAATTTAGCAACATTCTATCAATGGATTACCAATAGAAATATTACTAACGAACACCTTTGTTGATAATATTACCAACGAATTATATATCGGTTGATAAATATGAGAAAAATTATTTATATAATTTAGTAACATATTATCAATGAATTACTAACCAAACATTTACTAACGACAAGATTGTGTTGCTAAATTTACCAACCAAATATAAATGTGTTAGTAATTAGTAACGAAATGTAATTTGTTGGTAACATGCCAACCAATATCAAATTAGTTGAAAATTTTGCCGACGAATAAAGATTGTAGTTGATAAATTAATAACATCATTAAAATAGTTGGTAATATACCAACCGATCACTAATCCATTGGTAAAATTTACTAGCATATTAATTATTAGTTGATAATATTACATATGAATGTTTAGTTGAGTAGTAACTATTACCAACTCTAATACAATTTATTGGTAAATTATTAATTACTAACTTATATTTTAATAGTTAGTAAATTTACCAATTGAAGTTAATTTTTTTTTGTAAATCAGTGTCTATTGTTGATGCTTTAATATTTAGTTTGTATCATTAAGCAATTTAACTTTTAACTTTTAATCAAAATTTGACTTTGTTTAATATTTTTGGTAAACGTGCTTAGATTAAAACTCCGTTAGTGTCATTAGCTTTAAAAGGTTGTTTTTTATCTAACGGGAAGGTTGATTCATGTTTTGAGACTTTCATTTTTTGTTTGTGCCATTATGTATTTTAAATTTTATGTTTAGGCCAGTTTTTGACTTTGGTCAATATTTTTGTGAACGTGTTCAGATGAGAATTTTGTCAGTGTAATTAACTCCGAAGATCATTTTTTTATCTAGTAGGATGGTTGGTTTGGGTTTTGAGGCTTTCATTTTTACTTTGTTCCGTTAGGTGTTTTAACATATAAATTTTGGCAAAAAATTAATTTTTGTCAATATATTTAATAACGTGCCCAGATAAGAATTTTGTGAATGCAGTTAAATGGGAAAAGTCATATTTGATGTAATAAGATAGAGGGTTTGGGTGTTGAGGCTTCCGTTTTTAGTTTATGTCGTTAGGGATTTAAGGTTTTAAGTTTTGGCCAAAATATTACTTTAGTCAATATTTTTGATAATCGTACTCGAATTGAAATTTTATTAGCGCAGTTAGCCACATAAGTTCAGTTTTGATCTTATTGAATGGTTGGTTCGAGTTTTGAGACTTTTATTTTCAATTTGTGTCCTTAAGAGTTTTAACTTTTAACTATTGGCTAAAGTTTGAATTAGGTCAAATTTTTTTGGGAAACATGCTCAAATTTGAATTTTGTCAGCTCAGTTAGCTCTAGAAGGTCATTTTCTGATTTATAGGATGGATGGTTCGAATTTTGAGGTTTTCATATTCAATTTATACCGTTAGATGATTCAACTTTTAACTTTTGGCAAAAATTTCATTTTGCTTAGTATATTTTTTTTAAACGTGCTCTGATGAAAATTCTGTTAGTGCGATTAGCTTCTAAAGGTAATTTTTATATCTACTAAGCTGGTTGTTTCATGTTTTGAAGCTTCCATTTTTTGTTTGTGTTGTTAGGTGTTTTAACTTTTAACTTTTTGCCAAAATTTAGATTCGGTCAATATTTTTGGTAAACGTGCTCAAATTAAATTTTATGATATAATGATATGTGTCATGTTGAGACTAATTTAACTTGTTATCATAGATTTTGAATGGTTACATTCAAATATGATTTATAAAATTGATTAATATTTTTAGATTTATATTTGTGTTTTTAGATTTTTAAATGCAATAAATTAATATATATTTTAGTAATAAATAATAATTCAGTTCATCATATTTTGAACATATTGACAATCAATTACTAACCTAACATTGAACATGAATGATACATTACCAATAAACTAACAATCATATTAGAAAAATAAATAATCATACTAACGTATTTAAAGTTTACTACCAACAAGGGTTGTAGTGTAGTGGTAAGTACCCTTGCAAGCTGCATCCTTAACCAAGAGTTTCAGGTTCGATTCCGTCTAGGTACATATCATTTTTGTTAGGGAGTGCTTTACTGCCCAACGTGGGACTTTCCGGTGTGAATCCAGATTTAGTCGGGCTCCAATGTGGGTACCGAACACCTGCTGTAAATAAAAAATAATTAAAAAATATTTAAAATTTATTGGTAAAGTATCAACACAAATTTTTTGTTACTAAAATTACCAACCAATTACCGATGTATGAATCGAAAAATGAAGAAAAAAATTTACCAACTTCTTTTTAATTTGTTAGTAAAGGTACTAACGATTTATTAACCAAAAATTAGTTGGTAAATTTACCAACAGAAATTTATGGGTCATGTTTCAAAATTTTGTAACATCTTTGGGTGTTTACCAACTGATTTTGATTGGTATATGAGGTTTTTTTTGTAACATCTTTGGGTAAGTTTACCAACAAATTAAAATTGATTGGTAATATTACCGACAAGCTTTTTAGCAACAGATGAATATAAGTTGACATTTGATTGGTAACTCAATTTGCCAACCAATTTGGTCAATTTAACAACGAATCTTTTTGTTGGTATATGAGGTTTTTTTGTTGTAGTGTGTATTAGTACATGAAATGAACTAAGTTTCAGAAGAAAATATGCATAAACATAGGCATGATAACATAAAAGACTTAAAACGTGTAGGCATGACCACAATGAAACATTTAAAAGCTTTTATAGAAGATATGTCATGAAGATGATAAAACATAGCCTAATACATTAATATAAAGAACATAAGGAAATCTTAAAAAGCATAGTCATTTGTGGGATTTTAGTTTAGCCGACAATAAGACCATGAGAGCTATATCCTGAAATTTGATATATCCCTCATATCGAAAGAAGGGGAACTA